ATTGCACTCTGTGTAGGTATGTTCTTCCAAGAGTAAAATCCCCTTTCCATTTTTGTGTGCTTTTGACCACTCTCTAGTACCTTTGAATAGTTTTTATAATACAATAGAATTTCCATAGTTGACCACCTCCCTACATTGACCACCTCCTTAAATTGGCCTAATTTTCATAGACTGGACATGTACCACTTATACATTTCAGTACAGAAGGCCTAGTTCTATATGTTGACTGATTTGTTAAAGTCCCAGGAGTAGTCAGTTTACAGATCTTCTACTCTGTTGCATCAGATTCTATAATTTCTATCTGCAGAAAAGCTAGTACAAGCTACTCTGTCATAATTGGAACTGGAACTCCCCCTGCCCTTTTTCACATAACGGGTAGCAGATCATAAATACTTTATCTTGCTTTTCTCATCTAACCATAAAGCCTGGATTCCAGTCCTTAGGAGACTATTGAAATTCTCCTTATTCCTTTTTTGCAGTTGCATAGTACTCCATTATTTAAAGGTAACTTTAATTTATGAAACTAGTCTCCTGTTGATAGCTAGTCTAATGATAAGCACTTTTAAATTTATGGGAGCAGATTATACAATAGTCACAAAATGAGCCTTTTGCCTTTAAGGAAATGACGTTTTAATATCTTGAACAGTGTTTTGTTCAATGTCTCATGTGATAGGTAAGATCTAGTAGAACTTTTTAAAAGTCCCCATTTTCTACTTAACCCTGTTTAAAACTTGAAGAAACCAGTACCTCTGTCTCTGGTAACCAGTCCTATCAGATTCTCAGATCCCCCGTATGTGTTTCTCTTATACATTTTGTCTTAATAAACAAAGGGAGTGTGCTTAACTTGCCTTTTTTTTTTTTTGAGATGGTCTCACTGTGTCGCCCTTGGTAGAGTGCCATGGTATCACAGCTCACAGCAACCTTAAACTCTTGGGCTTAAGCGATTCTCTTGCCTCAGCCTCCAAAGTAGCTGGGACTATAGGCACCTGCCACAGGGCCCGGCTATTTTTTGGTTGCAATTGTCATTGTTGTTTAGCAGGACGGGGGGCCAGGCTTGAACCCGCCAGCCTCGGTGTATGTGGCTGGTGCCCTACTCACTGAGCTATGGGCACTGAGCCTTGACTTACTTTATTTACAACCTCAGACAAGTCTTTAACCAGAACAGGGACCAGTAAGTACATACCCTTTTGGTGAGACAGCTCTGGCAACAGATGTAGCCAGAGAAACCTCATTGAAGTGAATGTAAGGCCCTATCCAAATCTCTATTTTTGTGTGCAGATTTCTGTTCTGAACCTCAGAGCAGGAACTTCTGGAGCCACATGTGTCCTGGTCCGTCCCTCGACACAACCCCCAGAGCTGCCTGTATTGCTGAGTTGTATACACATCTATGTTGCCCTTGCTCAGATGTCACCAGCTAGAGAATTCCAATGGGATGGGGTAAAGGTATTGATAAGGGTGTCCATCCACCCTGCTGCGAGCATTTGTGTAGTCTGTGCACTCAGAAAAAAGTATTACTAAATATTCCTTGAGGTACGAGATTGTCATTCTGTAAGTTAGCACCACTGTTCGTGCTTAGAGCAGATTTTGCTGTGATGTTATGTCCCAGGGTCTGTGTTGCAAAGTGGACAGATACTGTAATGAATACACAAGTTCTAGAACCTGACCAGAGGCTGGTTCTATAATCCCTACATTGGCTTGTGCATTTTGGTAAGTTGCTTAATGTGTCGGTTTTATTATCTGTAAAGTAGGGGTGATAGTGATAGCTCCTTTTTAGGAGAGCTGTTAAGTTTTTGGCAATAAAATCCATTAATCATTATTACTTATGCTATTAGCATTATCTTTAATACCAACCACTCCTGGAGGTATAAAATTTGAAAATGTTATTATGAGAATGTAAATCAATTAAGTTGTCTAGAGAGAAACCCCTAAAAACCCTTCCATCTCTGAAAACCAAATAAAAGAGTTAAGTGAGAAAAAGAACGGAAGTTTGGTTTCATTGTATTTATAAGCTGTTGACAGGTGTTAATGGAATGCTTGTAGACATCCTTAGCTCATCCAATAGTAGAAAAATAATATTAAGCTTGTGCTCTTTAATTTTTTCCACCTCCTGGGGAGAAAGGTGTTTTATGCTCAGGTGCCAGCTCTGCTGTTCACTGCCTTTACAGTGGCAATGAGGTCCCTGTCCTGCCAGTTCACTGGGGTCTGTGATTGTCTTTGCTTCACAGAGAACTGCGTCCAGAGGACCCCCAGGCCCTCCGTGGAGAACGTGCACCATAACCCTCCCACCATTGAACTGTTGCACCGCTCTCGGTCACCCATCACCGCCAACCACCGGCCATCTCCCGACCCTGAGCAACGGCCTCTCCGGTCCCCTCTGGACAACATGATCCGCCGCCTCTCCCCAGCTGAGAGGGCCCAGGGACCGAGGCTGCACCAGGAGAACAACCACCAGGAGCCCTACCCCCTCTCAGTGTCTCCCATGGAGAATAATCACTGCCCGCCATCCTCCGAGCCCCACCCGAAGCCATCTAGCCCCCGGCAGGAGAACACCCGCGTGATCCAGCTGATGCCCAGCCCCATCATGCACCCCCTGATCCTGAACCCCCGGCACTCCATGGATTTCAAACAGTCCAGGCTCTCCGAGGACGGGCTGCACAGGGAAGGGAAGCCCATCAACCTCTCTCATCGGGAAGACATGGCTTACGTGAACCACATCATGGTCTCCGTCTCTCCGCCCGAAGAGCACGCCATGCCCATCGGGAGGATAGCAGGTGAGTGAGCTGTCTGTCCCCAGCACCGCCGTGCCAGCATAGACGAGGCCTGACAGAGCCCTGCCCTCCCTGCAGAGCCTTGCAGCTGGCCTCAGACCACTCCCAATTAGGTGCCCTCCAAGGCTGAGAGGGCAAGCAGAGGCTTCTGCCTGAATGAGGCAAAATCCCTAATGGCTTGGTTAATGAGCCGCAGGGATGGAGTAGTTAATGAGCCTCAGAAATGTTAAGAAACAAACGTCCTACGTCCAGCTTACAAGGAGAGTCACATCAGAATCAAGGCTAAGCGAAAACATTTAAGATAAAAGGTTTATGAGCATGCTAACGGCCCTGTCCTGAAGTTCCCAGCAGCTAATTAATGACCAGACACAGCATAAAGAAGCTTGTCTCAGATGCAGGCCTGTAATTCCATCCTACGGGCAGTAACTCACTGCAGCCTTCACCTTGGAAGGGGGTAGGAGAGGAAAACAGGATTATGGTGCTGGAGGCAGATGTTGCTGGGTCATTTGGACAGGGGAAATCACCCCTGAATTCTTTTCCTTTTATGATGACAAGCCCAAATTTGCTTACCTGTGGCCAGACTAGCATCTATTTGCTGGTCTGCCCATGATTGACATGAAGTCTCTCTTCAGAAGTTTGATCCTCTAACCATTTGACAAGGTTAGCTCTTTTGCTACAACATCAGTCCACTCATGAGACATTGTTGAACACCTACTGTGTGCAGATAAATGCCTCAGGAGTAGGGATACAGAGCTAACATAGCACATACTATCCTCTTCCTCAAGGAATTTAGAATTTAGAGGGAGAGACCAATATGATAGAAAACAGAATGAAATAAGGCTTATGCCCCACTCACTGAACGCACAAGCGTTCATTGAGCACCTACTATGTGCCATTTTAGTAAAATGCTGTGAAAACTATACAGAAGGAAGGTACATTTTGCCTGGAGGAATAAAAGAAACTTGCATATGTGAGAGCAAAGTGATTGTGCTTTCCGTAATGGAAGGGAGGCCTGGAGGTGGAGGTAAGGGAGGTCTGGAGGTAGGCCAGGACAAACCTATTCAGAGAAAGATGAGAAATGCCCCTTCCTCCCTGAGCCAATGGCCCAGGACAGAGTTCCAACTGACCAGCAGGATACAGCCATGCTCACAGCAACATAACCACAGGTACTCCCACAAGCCTACTTGACCTCTGCCTTGATGCACTATCCTTTTTTTAAGTTTAAATAATTTGTTTCTAGATTTTTCTCTGGCCCCAGGGGCTCCTCAATCATTGCCTCAAATTTTATCGTTATGATTTACGTCAGAATGTAAAGAAAATGACATGGCATATAAATGAGTTGTGTGTTTAAAACACTACGAAAAATAAAAGGATAGATGTTTGAGATTCCATTCAAAATGAATCTTGAAGGGTTGTGGGGAGCAGGGCACAGCTACCTAAAATGAACGAGTTATGAACGAGCTGATGGTTCTATAGCTGGGTGGTGGGTGCCTAGGGGATCATGTTATTCTCTCTTCTTTTACATATACATGAGATTGTTTTAGTAATAAAAGGAAAAAATTCTAGGGAACAAAGAACCAGGGATAAAGAAGCAGAGAGCTTAGGCAAAGCATGTGAATTCTCCTCTTGATAATTAGAGAAAGAGGATGGGGTCAGTGTGTTGCTGTGAGTGCTAAAAAGGACCATCTTATACTTTCCAGGCAAAACATTTGTCTATTCATACCCTTCTTGTTTCATGCCTTGCATGGCGTGAATGGTAATGCTTGATGTTTTGCAGATACTTCTGCTTGTTTGTAAGACTCAGGGCAACTCTTAGAGGCATTAATTCTGCCGTGTTCATTTTACATGGAAGGTTCATTTGCACAGAGGAAGCCACAGAAGAAACTGAGGCCGATAGAGGCAAAGTCTTATGTCCAAGGTCAGGTAGGTGTCCAGGCTCTGCAGGACAGTGCCTCCTGACCTCATGCCTGCTGTCCTTACTGCTGCCCATGTGGGCCTGGCTTTCTTGTAGGGTCTGTCCTACTCACCTCCTCTGTGACACCATCTTCACCACAGACTTCTTGAGAATCTAAGATAAGCCCATAATGCAATCAACATAAATTGTTTAGACTTGAGTTGTTATTTTTTCCTTGTTTAGTGGTTTTGTAAATTTCAAAATATTAGTTTTATAAAATTACTTCTTATAAATCTTATTCTTTTTTTTTATTGAATGGTAACTGTGTACATTAATGCACTTCTGGGGTACAGTGTGGGGTTTTATAAATCTTATTCTTAAACATCCGTGTCATTTAATGATGGATGCAGGTTCATCACTTGGGTATAGTATTCCACTGAGCCTTGGTGTCCACAGATGCCCTCTCTTCAGAGCACACAAGACAGGGGAATCTCTGCTTTTTGTGACAATTCTAGGAAGTCAGAATGTTTGTGTGAAATAACCACAGAGCCCAGATCTTTAGGGGAATATATTAACTCCTTTGGTATGACAGTTTTTTAAAACTAATTATTAATGCTTATTAGAATAACATATCCAAAAGTTTTTAAATCTCGAAACATATGTATTAACTAATTTAACCCAATCCAAGGTTAACACATTTAACTGAAAGGTGGTGTTTTTCTCCGGGGTGAAATGAGAAGGTGAGACAGGATGGTCCCCTTCGAGTCTGTTGGAGCTCTGTAAGTCTGCCATCTGATCCTTGGTCTTGACTCTTAAACCTCTGAAGTGAACTCACCAAAGCTCTAAGCAACTTTCTTTCTTTTGGCATAACCCTACCTCTCTAGCCTACCCTTTCAGCTATCTTTCTGTACTACCAGATCCTTAAAAAATTGACTCTTTATTGGAGATCAAATTCATTAGACAGTTCCTATGTAGAGTGTAAAGTTCTGGCATTACTGAACAGTCATGAAAAGCCTTTGAGTCTCTCTAAGGCAGCTGTTCAATGCAAAAGCTTAGTTCCTTAAAGCTTTTTGAATGAGCACAGTACAGAAAGAAATGAAGATACTAAAGGCCAGGCAGGTGAGCACCATAGCTGTAGGGAGGGAAACGCTCCGTATGAATGTGGGTCATAAAGCAACCCCAAATTCTTACCATTCACGTATGGTTGGCTTGCGTCCACTTGGTCATCGTCTGTGTCCTACCCCACTGGACTGTTTAAGGTGGCAGCGAGTTCAAGGAGGTATAAGACACAATCTTTTTCATGAAAAGAGTTGAGCACAGATCTAAAAGTGAGGCCCAGGATATGTGTCTTGGGAGGGTTCCTATTAAGTAGTTTAGGAGCCCAGAGAAGGGATGTGAGGGAAAGTCATGTGAAGGGCTGCCGTTAGCTGCACTTCTTGGAGATTAGAAAGGAAGAGATCATTCTAGATAGAGCAGAATTCCAGGGGAAAGTAAGATAAGGCTCAGTATACATATATTTTTTCTATTCCAGGTAGAAAATACAAATAAGAGTCCAGGTCTATCTAAATCAATTTAAAAATCTATCATTTTTCGTAAATTCTTTCTTTAAACTTTTTAATAGCTATGAAATGGTATCATATAATTAAGAGGTTACATGCAATGTTTTAGTAGTTTAGGTATTTCCCATAGGGAACACTAAGATAATCAATAAAGGAAATTCAGGAGGTGGTTGACAGTTTAAAGACAAACCACAAATGAACTCTGTTTAAATATAACATGCAGCTTATTTTTAAAGGTGTCACTTTTCAAAGCATGGAGGACTGCTATTAAGAGTTTTAACAGGTTGGGATGGCATTTATGGGAGAGTTTAACATAGGACAGTGAGACAAGATCTGTAGGTTCTCTTTTTTATTGACTAGCCCGTGGCATCTGAAACAATGAGCAAGTTGCTTCTTTCTGTGCTGGTTTTATGTTTTATTATCTACAGGAAAGGATTAGTGGGGAGCAGGGGAGTGGGGGTGGGCAGTGGGAAGCATCTGTCAATCTTCCAAAACTTTACCTACAGAGGTCTTACTGGCCTGTGTCCCTCCAATGTGTTTCACAGCCAGAGTGTTTTGGGTGCAGGCACCTGTAGGCTGATGAGATATCTAGTGATGCCGTGAGTCACGTTTCCAGTATGTGCTAAAATTCCTCCTTAGGACTGAATGATTTCAAAGCCAGAAAGG